AGAGGAGAGTTATTAAATGGAGAGTTAGAGGTATTGGAAGATGAGGGAATATTTTAGGAATTGTTAAATGTTGATGAAGATAGGGAAGCTGTGATTTCATGTATAGGGCAAGGAGGAATAACATCTTGTAGGAGTGAGGAAGAGTCAGTTGTGAGTGTGGGGGAAGTTCGTGAGGCAGTAGGTAAAATGAAAGGGGGGTAAGGCAGCTGGGATTGATGGGATAAAGATAGAAATGTTAAAAGCAGGTGGGGATATAGTTTTGGAGTGGTTGGTGCTCTTATTTAATAAATGTATGGAAGAGGGTAAGGTACCTAGGGATTGGCAGAGAGCATGCATAGTTCCTTTGTATAAAGCCAAAGGGGACAAAAGATAGTGCAAAAATTATAAGGGGATAAGTCTGTTGAGTATACCTGGTAAAGTGTATGGTAGAGTTATTATTGAAAGAATTAAGAGTAAGACGGAGAATAGGATAGCAGATGAACAAGGAGGCTTTAGGAAAGGTAGGGGGTGTGTGGACCAGGTGTTTACAGTGAAACATATAATTGAACAGTATTTAGATAAGGCTAAAGAGGTTTTTGTGGCATTTATGGATTTGGAAAAGGCATATGGCAGGGTGGATAGGGGAGCAATGTGGCAGATGTTGCAGGTGTATGGTATAGGAGGTAGGTTACTGAAAGCAGTGAAGAGTTTTCACGAGGATAGTGAGGCTCAAGTTAGAGTATGTAGGAAAGAGGGAGATTATTTCCCAGTAAAAGTAGGCCTTAGACAAGGATGCGTGATGTCACCGTGGTTGTTTAATATATTTATAGATGGGGTTGTAAGAGAAGTAAATGTGAGGGTCTTGGCAAGAGGCGTGGAGTTGAAAGATAAAGAATCACACATAAAGTGGGAGTTGTCACAGTTGCTCTTTGCTGATGACGCTGTGCTCTTGGGAGATTCTGAAGAGAAGTTGCAGAGGTTGGTGGATGAATTTGGTACGGTATGTAAAAGAAGAAAATTAAAAGTGAATATAGGAAAGAGTAAGGTTATGAGGATAACAAAAAGATTAGGTGATGAAAGATTGGACATCAGATTGGAGGGAGAGAATATGGAGGAGGTGAATGTATTTAGATATTTGGGAGTGGACGTGTCAGCGGATGGGTCTATGAAAGATGAGGTGAATCATAGAATTGATGAGGGGAAAAGGGTGAGCAGTGCACTTACTAGTCTGTGGAGACAAAGAACTTTGTCCTTGGAGGCAAAGAGGGGAATGTATGAGAGTATAGTTTTACCAACGCTCTTATATGGTTGTGAATCATGGGTGATGAATGTTGCAGCGAGGAGAAGGCTGGAGGCAGTGGAGATGTCATGTCTGAGGGCAATGTGTGGTATGAATATAATGCAGAGAATTCGTAGTTTGGAAGTTAGGAGGTGCAGGATTGCCAAAACTGTTGTCCAGAGGGCTGAGGAAGGGCTGTTGAGGTGGTTCGGACATGTAGAGAGAATGGAGCAAAACAGAATGACTTCAAGAGTGTATCAGTCTGTAGTGGAAGGAAGGCGGGGTAGGGGTCGGCCTAGGAAAGGTTGGAGGGAGGGGGTAAAGGAGGTTTTGTGTGCGAGGGGCTTGGACTTCCAGCAGGCATGCGTGAGCATGTTTGATAGGAGTGAATGGAGACAAATGGTTTTTAGTACTTGACGTGCTGTTGGAGTGTGAGCAAGGTAACATTTATGAAGGGGTTCAGGGAAACCGGCAGGCCGGACTTGAGTCCTGGAGATGGGAAGTACAGTGCCTGCACTCTGAAGGAGGGGTGTTAATGTTGCAGTTTAAAAACTGTAGTGTAAAGCACCCTTCTGGCAAGACAGTGATGGAGTGAATGATGGTGAAAGTTTTTCTTTTCCAGGCCACCCTGCCTTGGTGGGAATCGGCCAGTGTGCCAATAAAAAAAAAAACATAAAAAAAAAAAGATACCTTGACATATCACATGGATTATTATACTGTTTATCTCTATATTCCTCAGTAAGTGGACAATTAAGCACATAGTATTCAAGAAAGTGACCATAATGCTAACCATATATATACTTTGTGCTTACTGGTAGCTTGATCACTTGTGTGTCTGCTAAACTACCAGAGGTATTTGTAGCCAAGCCTAAGCCTGGCTGCTACAACATCAGTCAGTCTGTTCATATTGCAAGTTGCTCCACAAACATACTTATCTGCATTCATGTTATCATAGTGAGTGATAGATCTCTTAAGGCTTTTAACTGCATTCCTATGGCATTCAGTTTTATTATATAATTATCTCCTAATACTAGACACATACATGCCAAAGTTATAATCTGCATTTTTCTTCTGGGTACTTTCTTTGGCTAGGTTATCAACTTTATCATGAAGGAGTTATTCAGTGTGTGATAGAATCCATAAAAATTGTATATTACTACCTTTTTTCTCTGATTTTTTAGTATGTGTATCTGACTTCTGCAGGGAACATTGTTAGTCATTATGCAAGTCAAGAGCCTTCAGTTTATTGAAATTTTTTTCATAGAGCATATTAATTAACATCATAATTCTTCTTTCTTCACAGCTAAAATTGTGCTGGGAAAACTCAACCTCTTTGATATCTTAACAAAAGAAATGGGACGGCTGAATGCTCAAGAAAAGCTCCTAATAAAGTGGAAACAAGTGCACCCAAAAATCCCATTGAGGGAAAAAAAAGATAAAAGTAGAGATATACCAGTAACTATGAGATATTGTTCGAAGAAAGATTTTAAAGGCTCAGTTAATGAGGATAAGACAACAGCTGGTATTGAAGAACTGGAGGATGAAATACAAGAGGGAACATCCAGAAGTGGGAAGCAACAAACATTGTGCCACATGACAAAGAAGTTAGACTCGAGTAACATAGTTTCATGTGTTGATGTATCAAGTGATAATCTGATGGATGAATCTCATGATAACAGTAACATGAACTGTGTCAAGAACAAGAAAGGTTTGAAGAGAAAATTAGAAGTAAATACACCAGATAATGAAAATCTAAATGCCCCAGTTCAGTCAAATATTAAGAAAGTGAATATCAAAAAGTTCAAGAAGAAATGTACTCAGAAAGAATCTTTTAAAAATGTACATTCTCTGAATATTCAGTTGCAGGTGAATGAGGCTGCAAATGAATTATTGAATGACTTGGAAGATTTTGAGGAACCAGTATGTAATTGGAATCAAGTATTAGTGAAAGACAATAAAAATACTTCTATAATTAAATTTAGTGCTGAAAGCAAAGTCGAAGTTGATGCTAAAACAGGTGTTGAGGATGCTCAAAAGTGTAAAACAGGTGTTGAGGATACTCAAAAGTGTAAAACAGTGTTGAGGATGCTCAAGTGTAAAACAGGTGTTGAGGATCTCAAAAGTGTAAAACAGGTGTTGAGGATGCTCAAAAGTGTAAAACAGGTGTTGAGGATACTCAAAAGTGTAAAACAGGTGTTGAGGATGCTCAAAAGTGTAAAACAGGTGTTGAGGATACTCAAAAGTGTAAAACAGGTGTTGAGGATACTCAAAAGTGTAAAACAGGTGTTGAGGATACTCAAAAGTGTAAAACAGGTGTTGAGGATGCTCAAGTGTAAAACAGGTGTTGAGGATGTCAAAAGTGTAAAACACAAAGTTCTTCATAAGTTAGAGAAATACAGAAACTATATGTTTCTTTAAAAGTTTCCAAAAATATCAAAACTAAATCTTTGTAAATTTACAGAAGATATAGAAACTAATTCTTCACAAGTTACAGAAAATACAAAAACTAAATCATTACAGGTTACAGAAAATAAACATAATAGACTAGAAAGTAAGCTCTCAGAAGGTGAGCTCTCAGAAGGTGAGCTCTCAAAAGGTGAGCTCTCAAAAGGTGAGCTCTCAAAAGGTGAGCTCTCAAAAGGTGAGCTCTCAAAAGGTGAGCTCTCAAAAGGTGAGCTCTCAGAAGGTGAGATAGGGCCAAATAATAATGAGGATACTGATGATGTAGACTTCATGGAAGAAAACCACGGCTCACAATGCGTAAATGTTTTACAAAGGCATTCATCAACAGATGTAATCCTGGTAGAAAAATATTGTATTTCCAGCAAAAATTCTGAAAGTGCAGACATTTCACATCCTTCTCATCAATGTAATTTTTTTGCTCCCCTCTCTAGGTTACTATTGAGTGATGTCCATCTTTATAATAGCCCTAGAGTTGAGCATGGGTTTTACAAACCTCTGATTATTATTATTATTACAATCATAACAAAGTGATAAGCCCACTATGGTCATACAGCATTGATACAAATCTCTGAGTGTCTGGAGACAGACCAACCATCACACCCATCCATCCCCTCACCTTGGTGACACATTAAGGGAATGTTAGTGGGCTTCATCTAATAACATTGTTAATGGGTGGGTTTGATGTATCCACTTTTTATTTTGGGAAATTTAGATGTAATTTTATCTCTGGGTTTTAATTGTATGTTGTAGATGAATATGCTTTTTAATATATAATAATGAATGACAAGTCTCAGCACTAACTGGCTCATACAGCTGCTTCAGACCTGTTTTTTTGTAATCACTGTATTACTGTAACTTTTATATTTAAAATTTTGAGCTTATTAAAATGATCAAACTCAAGTTAGAAGTATAGACTTGGCACAAAACCCTTTAAGCAAGATAGCACACAGCACAAATTACATGTGCTAAACTTTATTTAAATGACATTTCGGAAAACTAAGAATTCACATTAGCGCCCATAGTTTAATTTGCCAGCTATAATTTAAAGCCAAAAAGAAATTACCATATGGCAAGTGTGGACTCTCCAAGCAGATACATTATTATTATAATTATAACTAAGAGCTATCCAAGCAGACATGACTCCTTGATAATGGCAGATCATCGTGAGGTGATACAGCAGGACTCTGTATCCGCGGGGACACATTCCAAGCCTACGGATACCGAAAACTGCAGATAGTGGTGAACACCATATACAAGTCATTTTTCGTTTACATACATACCTATGATGTTGAGTTTTGGAGGGGTGTAGGGTTGGAGGCTGGAAGCAATGAGGTGATGTCATGTGGGTGGCAGTGTTCATGGCCCAGTGTTGGTGGCCTAGTGTGGGAGGCAGTGTTGATGGAACAGCATGGGTGGTAGTGTTGGTGGCCCAGTGTGGGTGGCAGTGATGGGTGCCCAGTGTGGGTGGTAGTGATGGTGACCATGTGGGTGGCAGTGTTGGTGGCCCAGTGTGTGCAGTAGTGTGGATGAGGGGGTGAGTGTGCAGCTGGCATGGGCAGTTATTAGGGTGGCTGGTGTCTACATGACTAGGAGTGTAGATGGCATGTTAGGGTGTGTGGGTCATGAAAACATGGGTAAGGTGTGGATATGGAGCTATGAGGGCTAGAAACTATGAGGGAATGGTGAGTGAATGCATGAGTAAGGTGTGGGGCCATGTGGGCTTGAAGCTGTGGGGGAGTGGTGAATGAAAGCATGAGTAAGGTGTGGGGCCATGTGGGCTTGGTGGTATGGATGGGGGTTGTGGGGAGGGGGGTTGTTGCTAGGTGTATAGGAAGGGTATGGCCACGGGGTAGGGGAGTGAATGAACAGTTTGTGTGGGCAGAGGTGTGTGGCTGAGGTAGCACTGGATGTGTATTGTATCCATATCATACCAGATGTGTATCAATTGTCTCAAGCAATACTGTATCAGACATGTATCAACTGTATGAAGCAGTAATGCATCAGACATGTAACAGCTGTCTCAAGCAGTAATGCACCTCAGCTCTCCCTTGTGTGTGATAACCTCCTCCCACTTTGTAACATACCAAATTGTAGATGAATGGTTCAGAGAACTGACACATTGATTAATTAGACAAATGTGCAACTCTTGGGTATCTTTATTGAGGAAACGTTTCGCCACACAGTGGCTTCATCAGTCCATACAAAGGAGAAACGTGAAGAACAAGAGGAGAATGAGGTAATCAGTCCCTCAACCTTGAGTCGATGTGGTCAGTCCATCAGTCTTGAATAGAATACAGCATATCTGTGGAGAAGTAGCTTATATACCATATTCTATTCAAGATTGATGGACTGACCACATCGACTCAAGGTTGAGGGACTGATTACCTCATTCTCCTCCTGTTCTTCACGTTTCTCCTTTGTATGGACTGATGAAGCCACTGTGTGACGAAATGTTTCCTCAATAAAGATACCCAAGAGTTGCACGATGTGTCTAATTAATTGTTACAAAAAATGCGATATCTAATAAGCATAGAGATCTCCAGTGAATACTAGAAAGGACTGCCCTTCTAGCATCCAGCCTGTTACTGGGTTTTTGTAACAAGTAGTCAGTATCCTGGTCCAATTATCCATTAGAATTTAATAAGATTCAATAGTGCTTCAGGATTACAACTGGTAGGATACTAACTAAAGAGATTAAAATTTAATAAGTTTATTAATAACAATAAAGTTGTCTAGGCGTATAATATCAAAGTAAATTAAAGTAATCAAAGTAATGACTTCTCTCGTATATAGTAGTACAGTGGACCCTCGACATTCGATACTAATCCGTTCCTGAGAGCTATCGAATGTCGAAAATATCGAAAGTCAAATTAATTTTCCCCATAAGAAATAATGGAAATCAAATTAATCCATGCAAGACACCCAAAAGTATGAAAAAAAATTTTACCACATGAAATATTAAGTTTAATGCAATAGAATAATTACAATAACAACAATAACAATAGATTAATAACAATAGAATAAATGACACTTACCTTTAATGAAGATCTGGTGGCATACTGCTCTTATCTGTATTTTTTTTGTACCTCTGTATGTGTGCACAAATTGGAAAATAAATTGGAAATGGGAGGAGGGGAGAGTGTGGATGTGTCATGTGGGTTTTCGAAAACGTGGATAGGGTAAGAATACTCACGTAGGCTGGTATTACGTATAATATAACGGAAAGTATGGGAAAGCGCCAACAGCCGTCCTGCGTCTCTCTGCTCCCTAGCCTGACTGACCCATGAGTGCCTACGGGTGAGGATGTTTGAAATCCTGCTATGGTCAGCAGCAATATGAATACAGTCAATGATTCACACAGACGGTTGGTAGTGAGTCATCTACTGGTACACTGGTTACTAGGAACTGGTACTACTACTGAGAGCTCGGCGACGCTAACGTATGTCGTCCCGACATACAACTAATACAAACTAGAGATGGCAGGTGTACGGCTTGGGCTGATTCTATACAATGTCAAAGTACACAACAATTGAACATTATAACATACATAAGTAGAATATTGGAATGGAAGCTTACATAAGTGAAACTGTAATGCAATACAAGGTATAATATAGCACAACTCATCGAATGAAACTCAACGTTGAGATTACACAATAGAAGTTATAAAAAAATTTGATCGATCGATCTGTATTCATGTGATCTACGGATTCTGAGGAAGGAATATATACAAAGAAAGAAGTGTTTAACAGAAAGGCAGATTCAGTGCACTCAAATCTAGACTGTTAACTCTCAGAATTCGGAGAGAACGTGAACACAAAAAAAAAATTCTTGAATACTGATAAGTTGATACTGTAATTATTCATCTATACAGGTTATTTACATTTAACCCCAACTCTGCTAGGGTGAGATTGATATATGCAGAATGGGTGTCATCTCTGGGAGGATCAAACTCTGTTGCACTGGCTAACTCATGCTGTATTTGAGGCAAATCTGAATTGGTAGTTACAAATGATACTTGAGGATTTCTCAATACCTGTCGTGTACGTAGGGAATAACGACATTCAGGTTGATCGTCTGACTGAGTATCAGAGGTAGAGAGTACAGGATCAGGAGGATTGTCAGAGTCTGTCACATTAGTCTGGGTTGGAACATCATTATCATCACATACTAACTTCATATGATCTAAATGCGATTCTTTATACTGACCAGTACTAATTTCTCTAACCTTATACTTATTACCAGTGATATGTTCAACTACTCGATAAGGACCAACAAACTTTTGATCAAGCTTAGGCACTGCAGACGTTTTGTTAAAGTTAGTCACCATAACTCTCGAACCTACTTTGATTTTGGATGGCTTTGCTCGAGTGTTTGCAACTCTTGTAAATTCTGTTGTTGATTTATGAAGTGTTTCACGGATTCTTCTAAAAACACTTTGAGCTAAGCTGGTACGAGTTGCTATGAAATCATCAGGGTTGTAATTTGGTTTCGGATTAGAATATAGCAACTCATAAGGCAAACGTTTGTCTACACCGTACAATGCATAATGTGGAGTGTCACCTATAGAAACATTGTAAGCAGAATTTATAGCACACTGCACATCAGGTATAACTTCATCCCAAGTTTCACTGTTGGGATTGATAGTGGCTCTCAAGACATCAAGTACTTTTTTATTGGTTTGTTCCACTAACCCATTGCTGGCAAGATGATGAGGAACAATGGTGAGTGTGGATGGTGTTAATGTTTAGAAGGAGAATCCCCTTCCATTAGGACTTGAGGTAGCAAGTCCTTTTCTGGGGTTACTTCCCTTCTTCTTTTAATGCCACTAGGACCAGCTTGAGAGTCACTGGACTCAGGGCCCTGTACGCTGTAAACGTCAGGCCTATATTTTAGAATGCAGCACCACTTTGGAACCCACACCTAGCCAAGCATCTAAGGAAACTAGAGAAAGTGGAAAGGTTTGCACCAAGACAAGTCCTGGAGCTAAGGGGCATGTCCTACAAGAAGAGGTTAAGGGAACTCGACCTGATGACACTGGAGGACAGGAGAGGTAGGGGGATATGATAACAACATATAAAATACTCACAGGAATTGAAAAGGTGGACAGAAACAAGATGTTCCAGAGATGGGACACAGCAACAAGGGGTCACACTTGGAAGTTGAAGACTCGGATGAATCACAGGGACGTTAGGAGTTGTCAGGAAATGGAATAGTCTCGTAAGTGATGTAGTAGAGGCAGGATCCATACATAGCTTTAAGAAGAGGTATGATAAAGCTCATGAAACAGGGATAGTGACCGAGTAGTGAACAGTGTAGAGGTGAGGCCAGGATCTGTGACTAGACCCCTGCAACCACAACTAGGTGAGTACACACACACACACAAGCACACACAACTGGCTCCTAGAATTTAACCCTGCCAAATGCAAAGTCATGAAGATCGGGAAAGAGCAAAGTAGACTGCAGAGTAGAAAGAGGAGAAAGATCTGGGAGTGAGTATAACACCAAGCACGTCGCCAGAAGCCCACATTAACCAAATAATTGCTGAGGCATATGGGCGCCTGGCAGACCTGAGAATAGCGTTCCGATACCTCAGTAAGTAATCGTTCAAAACTCTATACATTGTGTACGTCAGGCCAATACTGGAGTATGTGGCATCAGTTTGGAACCCACACCTAGTCAAGCATGTCAAGAAATTATAGAAAGTGCAAAAGTTTGCAACAAGGCTGGTTCCAGAGCTAAGGGGAATGTCCTACGAAGAAAGGTTAAGGGAAATCGGTCTGACGACACTGGAGGACAGGAGGGTCAGGGGTGACATGATAACGACACACAAAATACTGCGTGGAATAGATAAATGCGTGATAAAGGAATAACAGGAAAAGTTGGTAGATGGATCTATAATT